TAAGTCGACACCACATTCATCCATAGGATCAAGCCAACCGCCTATCATAACAAATAGAATTAACATAAACAAAGAATATTAAAATCAACAATAGCCAATGTGCAAAGTCATCATAAAATCTATTGGAATACAATTACAAGAAGAACTTGATCACGCAACAAGGAATGCCACAGCCATCCTTTTTGCATGATCAGCATTATAATACTATAAGAACTAAAATTAAGAGATAAATAAGTTGGTTATAAGTTATAGCAGAGCATTGTCAGTTATAAGTGAGCCAGTGTTAAGCTAGCATTTAGAGTACGGTATTTAAAAAAAAAAAACAATTAAAGATAATAAAAAATTAATTTACATACGTGAATATGTGCGACCGTCTTTTAACATGTTTTCAAAACTTTTAAAGGCCTGCAAATAAATATATAGGTATATAAATATGTACATACGTATATATTAGGGCGGGTCGATTTAAAAATCGCCCATTGCTCTATGAAAATCATATTCTAGGGATCAAAATAAGATACTTTGCCGAAGGAATCATACCTCTAAAATGTATTTTGATGTCCCCCAATTTGGGTCGAACTTTTGGGTAGGGGAAAATTTTGCAAAATCCCACGTGACCGACCCGCACTAACTTTGAACGACCGATCCACCCATGCCAGTGGCACACCCCCTGGAACTCCCCTGGGGGTTCCCATACAATTATTTCAAAAAACCACCATTTTTGGTGATTAACATGAAAAAATCAGCTAAATTGCTATGTTTTTTTTCTTTATTTTTATTTATTTATTTATAATAATATCTATTTTTCTCTTAAGAAATTTATTTAGTCAGAACATATGTAAATGAAAAAAATTAATTTAAGTGAGTTMTAGAAAAGAAATTAAAAAAAATTATTGTTTGAAGTCTTTTTTACTTTCAAGTCTGGGCAATTTCGCACGGCTCTCTAATGTCGTCGCCATAACAGCCTCTACATTTTACGGTATAACCCGTTTGGAAACGCTAGCTATCAATTGAACATGTCGTTCCGTTCCTTGTATGTGTGATGGAATTTGTGGATCATTAAACGGTGGATCATCTTGATTTAAATATTCTTTCAATGTATCGTACGGAATGCTTCGCGAGAATGGTGGTTCAAATATGATATTTACAGTAAGCCGCAAAACTGAGGACACATCAATATACTTCTAAGTTTTTTTTAAGTAAATTTTATTTGCCACAAAAAACTAACAAAAAACCATTCAAGATCGTAAAAATAAAATGTAGTAATTCAATCTAACTAAAAACTAAGGAACTTTTTATCATTATTTGGGAAATATATAAAAAATATTAGTGTAACTCCATATATTTGCACCGCAAAAGTAAGGGCACACCTATAAAAATAATTGACATTTATTAAAAAAAATATCAAAATTATTTAAAAATTTAACAACCTTAATATTTGGTAGAATTGAATTGTATTGAATCTACCAATGTTTTTGTGGCTTCGGCGCTTATTTTGTTCCACTCCTCCATAAGAACCTGCTTCAGTTGTGGCTTGCTTCGAATTTCGTGTTTTCGCACATTTATGTCTAAAATTTCCCATATGTGCTCTATGGGATTGAGGTCTGGGCTTTATGGAGGGGTTTTCAGCATATGTGGGGTGTTATAGAGAAGCCACATTTTCACATAATGGGCTATGTGCTTCGGATCATTATCTTGTTGGAAGTAGTAGTCGTCAGCTAAACCCAATTTTGAAGCGCTTTCCTGTAGATTGTGTCTTAATATATCCAAATAAACGTAGTGGTTCATTGTTATTTCAATAAATACGAGATCACCCACTCCAGGCGATGACATACAGGCCCATACCATGACACTCCCACCTCCATGCTTAACGGTCTTCACTGTATTTTTTGGATTCAAAGCTTCTCCTTCTCTACGCCACACTTTTAAACGACCATCGGATCCAAATATGTTGTATTTGGATTCGTCAGAGAATATAACCTTATTCCAGAACTCTTGTGGCTTATTTATATAGGTTTTTGAAAACTCTATGCGCTTTGCTCTATTTACCTTGTTTATAAGTGGTTCTTTCTTGGGACACAAGACTTCAGTCCGTGTTCAGCTAAGCATCTTCTAACAGTATCAGGCGAAACTTTAACATTTTAATATTTCTCTAGCTCTGCTGCAATTTTTGGAGCGCTGGTAAATGGATTTTTTTCAATGGTACGCTTTATAAGTCGCCTATCTTTCTCGCTTAATTTGGATGGCCAGCCACTTACAGGCATATTTTCGATCCGGTTCTCCTTTGTTTTGCGCTGGACGACTTTTCTAACAGTAAAGCGACTACGAGACACTATTTTATTTATTTCAACATAAGATTTATTTTCATTCTCGTACAAATTTATTATAATTTGCTCCTCTTCGAGAGTGAGCTGCTTACGCGGCATACTTTCAATTTCTTTTTTTCGACAATATTTAGGTTACAAAACAAAAATTTCAAAAAATGTATATTTACGCGTGTTAACTGCGATGCTCCTTTCACACTCCAACTAAACTTTGTTTCTTTGGTGTGCTCGTTGAATCGTTATTCAAAGAAAACAACAAGTGTGCTCTTAGTTTTGCGTTGCCATATAATTGGTTATTTTGAGTGCACATAGATATTTTTAGGAATTTATTTAAAAGCCCACATTTTTTTACATAGGTATTAAGAACAACATTGAAATTAATAGTAAACATTAATATTGTGATTACATTTTTGAGAAAACTACTATAAAATTAGTCAAATATAAAAATACCCCTAGTGTGTCCTTAGATTTGCGGCTTACTGTATATCATTCAAATTGATCATTTCCGTATAACTTGTGCAATTAAAGTTTATATCTGGTTTTTTATAAACTCTAAGTTCCATTGGCTCGTCAACATCGGTTCGATAGCATAGAATTTTCTTGATGGCACAGTCGCGCTTTTCTTTCCTATCATCAAACAACATTGATAACAAGATATTTTCCGAATGCGCATAATATGAATTATCATTAATTACTAAATTGACAATTTTGCGTAAGCGAGGTTCTAGAAATCGTGACCAACCAATGAACTTGAAAAATAATGCACTGCCGTACACGACAGAGCTGTAATACTTGATATTAAAGTACATTGGCACATAACATTTAATTATAAATTCAACTAGAATTCTTAAATTTGCATCTGGATTTTCTGTTATCACATATAATCGCAATAATCTAGCGGCCTTGGTGAGCCACCGAGAATGTACAATTTTTCCTGGTTTGCTGTTAGCCAGATCCACCGGAACCACGCCGCTAGAAATTGCATGGGCCATGTCGTATAAGTACTTCGAATCGGTGGAGAATTCTTTTTTTTTGGAGCAGGGGGCATATTTTGCAACTCAATTTTCTGGAAGCCGTCCGCCACCTAAAAATATATAATAATAAAATAATTAAAAATGGTTGACAATTATAATAAATGAGTGATAGCAATAACTTACCGGAAGAGTTTCACAAGTTTCGATTTGACGGCTCAGTTTTCCGGTTGCCGATCTTGGTCCAGTGCTGGTTGATTTATCCAAAGCTTCAAACAAATGCCGAAACGGAAGTTCGTTGAAGTGTGCAAAGAAACCAATGCAATGGTCTTTTCAACAGCAATTCGAATCGTCGTATAATTCCACCTTGTGGGCCAGTGTTTGTTGGCTCACCGTCAGTGCATATTCCAATTAATGTATCCAGTGATACATTTTTATCGCTGAAGAAATTTAATTTGGTTGTTTTGTATTCAGCGGTTTCATGTTCCAGTCTTACGTAACCAATCAATTCAGAATTGGGTTCTCTCAAAATAACAAGATGAGGTTCTTTTACCATCCTTGTATGATACTTCTCATCAATTTTATCTATCGTTAAAGTATCATCTTTTCTGCCATCGAATGAAAACGCTAACAAATTGGTATCATCTAACCGTTTGCGAAGCACTTCTTGCCTGCATTTCTCTTTTTCTCTGCGAACTTTCGATTTATCCATGATGAGAGGTTTCCCATGCTTATCTTTAATTTTAAAATCTTGCAAAAGAGCGGTTCCCAATGCTGATGCTGCTCTGTCAGGCACACCAAATCTATCACATACCAAGGCAAAGTTAAAACAATCGTATCTCTCTGTGTATTGTGAACTTGTGCTTCTATAAATATTTTCTTGAGCTTGTGGCGGTGCGTATGTTGAATCATCGGGATCTTGGTATGTTGGCATTGATGACATAGACGTTGCTCCTTGCTCTTCAGTTTCCATCATAAATGCATTCATTGTTAGACTTCTCTGATTATGTTGATCGTGCATGAACTCTTTGAGGCGTTCGGAAACCCAGCCGCATGCACATGGAGCTGCTTTCAAATCGCATTTACATGTTCCAATGTAAAAAATTGTTTCCAGAGATTTTAAATACTCTGTAAATTGTTGGGTGTTGTTTCTTCTCTTGATTTGCTCTTGATACTTGTCAAGCAATTTATTACATACACTTTTTTTCAGCATTATTTCCATACCAAGTTTTTCCCAAATTCCAATCAACTTATCTTGTACTTGAATAGTGAATGATTTATGGGAAAACTTTTTTTGTTCTGTTTTAGCACGTTCGCTTAAGTAAAAATAATATCTCAAGATATCCAGATGGGTTGGTAAATTAAGATCAGTTAAATCAGTAGACACACCAAAAACAGTAACATCATGCATGGGTATATGACTCATTGGGTTTTCGATAGTTGTTGAAGTAGTTGCTTCATCTTGCGGTGTAGAGGATGGTGGATTAATTATAAACTTTTTGAGGTAATAACAATGACATGGTAATTATAAAGTAAGACGTGTAGCGTTTCGGTTGTTAAATAGAACTCATCTCTGGATGCCCAGAGCTCCTTTATTTATAGCATTCCTTATCCTAATTTATGTATGCCAATAACTTCAAATCTTAACACTAATCTACTGTACATACCCACAGTATGTTCACATATCTTAAGCATAAGTGTTTTCAAGAGCAGACCCAATTGTCTATTGTTAGTTTAAGATGATCACTTAAATTAATTTTTTTCATTTACATATGTATGTTCTGACTAAATAAATTTCTTAAGAGAAAAAATAGATATTATTATAAATAAATAAATAAAAATAAAGAAAAAACTTAGCAATTTATTCATGTAAATCACCAAAAATGGTGATTTTTTGAAAAGATTGTATGGGGAAACCCCAGGGGAGTTCCAGGGGGTGTGCCACTGGCATGGGTGGATCGGCCGTTCAAAGTTAGTGGGGGTCGGTCATACATTTGGACTCAATTGGAGCCCTCTAAATGGGTCAAAGTGTGATTTTTCAAAATTTGCCCCTACCCAAAAGTTCGACGCAAATTGGGGGACATCAGAATCCATTTCACAGGTATATTATTTTGATCCCTAGAATACGATTTTCATAGAGCAATAGGCGATTTTTTTGCCTCCATAAAAACGACCCGGCCTAGTATATATCTTATCAAACCTACATTAATTAAATAATTAGGTTACAATACAAATATGATTTTATTATACATATATTTCCAAAGATTTAAGGAATTCATCATGAAATAGTTTAATTTGTACGTACATATGTATGTATGTATATAAATTATATGCAGAGTCGGTTGCGCATTGTAAATATGCGAATCTTAACATCGGAAATAGCATAAGCTCTTTGATTTAACACTTAAAATGCTCAATTCTGCTATTTTCGTGCCCCTGATGTTAAGTGGTGAAACACGCTAATAATTTTCTGTGGTGGAACGCACTCATCCAAAACAGTAAATATCCCAGAATTGAAATATCCCTAAATTTTTGATATCGTGAACCTTTTCTATAAATATAAGTTCTCTGCTCATATACATACATATAATTATGTGCGCATGTAAACAAATATGACAGACTATACGCATAATGTTTGTAAATTTGTCTACATGCAACATATGTATGCAAATATCTACACTCAATGCTTAATGAGAAATCTCCATTCACACGGTCAGCCAATGGCGTAGCTCACTTTTTGTCAAAGAGTCAATGTGGCGACAATGCGTCACAACATTGTATTGTTGGTAGAAAATCAGAGCTGTGCGGAAAAAATAAACGAACGGCCACCGATTGTCACCGCTTCCCTTGCCGCTGTACAGCTTCGCCGACAAACCAGCGTAAATATGTACACATATGTATGAGCATGCATACATATCGACGCTGATTTTTGCAAGCCGGGTAAAAATATTTTTTACATTCCTTGACAAATACAGTCAATCCCGGTTATGTGCCACTATCAAAGATACAGATTTTTGTGGTTTGTTAAAAATAAAAATATAATATGGCCCATAAGCGAATGCGGATACTTAAGCAAGTGGTACTTAAAAGAATAATTTCTATGTATTTCAAAAAACAAACCGTGAGGTGCAGCAAGATATGGGCAGTTAAGAGGGATGATTTTCATTTAAGCGGAAT